AAGAGTGTACCCGTCTAAGCCGTGAGCCATGAGCCACCAGCTTCTCTAGTAGTACATCTCTTGTCTATCATTCTTTAGATAAACCTGTAGCCTCCAAGAAAATGCTCAAAAACTCTTAACCTTTACATTAGCTGGGTCTCTGCTGATAACATCTGGAAAAGTATGTATGGTTTCAAGAATGTAATCTAGCAGAAAATGAAAACTGTCATCCTAAGAGAAAGCAATGTGCTCAGTTCCTTAATGCTGCTCTGTTTCCAGAGCCATATTCTGAACTGTACCTAGAAAGTGTTAGAAGGGTGTTTTTACCTGTCTCATATACCGCTTCGGACACTGAGGTAAAGTGGTCCTCTACTGTGTATTGTGCCAGCTGGAGTGTGTCCAGACCTCGAACTGAATCATTTCCTCTAGTCCAGTAAAACATGACATCATTGATGTTATAACCCCCTGTAGTGATACACAAGCCAACAAAAGTGTTTATTTTACACAATAATTAATTAGTGTTGAGCACACTTATGGTTCAGCTGTTTCTTATTTGTCTGTCTGAAAGTACAATTAGACATAAACATGACGGTTTTTGGCAGAACGTAATGCCTGTTTGCAACAAAACCCCCCAATAACATGCAAAGTCTTACCATTTACAAGCTGACTTTTTTGGAGGTGGTCTTTTTTATATCTTTTGTTCTAGTATAGACAACAAACTAATAAAAGAGATTAGTACCACATGGTATTCTAAAGGCAAAAGCTTTTAAGCTTTAAAGAAACACAGTTTTTATGAATTACAGCACTGCCAGCATTTGGACTAAACATTAAGTGTGCCCTTTGTTGCACCCCAGGCTGCTGCTTCCCGACGCAGTGCATTTGGTCCTCGTTCCCGCAGAAAGGAAGGGGTGCGGAGAGCAGCAGGGCTGCTGCGGGCTGGCGCTGTGCTGCGAGCTGGGCTTGGGTCGTCACTTGGGATGACATTTTGGCTTAGGAGCTTGGATGCTTCCCAAGGACACCAGCTTAGATGCTGATGTTTCTGCAGGCTCAACAGCACGGCATGCTTCAGGGGCCCCAGGAGATTTCCTCTTAACCTTCAAGTAGCAATTAGGAGCTGAAACGGGACGTGAATCCTCTATCAGAAGGCAACTGTATTTTGCACACACTTGTCAATATGCGGCACAATCGTAGCTAAAATACCTCTGTGGCTTTTCCCCATTATATTAAAAGGCAGGCAATTTTCAGACTAGTGTATATGATTAATTCAAGATTATGTTAATGTAATTTACATGTTAACAGGGAGCATTTGAACATCTTTTCCTTTAGCTTACTTAGATCAATCATTCTTGTATTTGACAGACTTATATTGTGCAAGTTAATAACTAAGCTGAGGGGACAGAAACACAAGCTGATGATTATTTTTAGACTCCAGTCAATTGTAAATTACAGTGAGACAATAATGCAATACATTGCACAAGGGTATATGCTGCAAAAAGAACAAAGCTCTAGAATCACAGAAAGAGAGATGCATTAAAATAAAAAGAGCATTTTAATATTTTTAAGTTAATGGCTTTGTTTCTTGCAATGACAAAAAAGAACTGATTTCCTACAGCCATTTAATGTAGGAAAAACAGGAGTTCAGAAATCTTACTTTAAGGAAACACTATGCTGGTTACCAATTAAAATGACAATTTCAGCTGGAAATTGTTTCCCTGACCATTCTTTAAGTGTAAATCTTGTTTTCACTATCACTAGCAGTTTTCTGAAAAGGTATCATGACCAGGGATCTCTGCTCACACCATTGCATTTATAGCAATTAAAGCCAAAACACTGCTGTGTCAAAAGACTAAGCCAAAAGCATGCATGTCCAAGCTAAGTTCCCGATTTTCTAAAACCACATGCTGGGAAATTTCCCAGATCTGGGAGATGAAAAATAAAAGTAACATTTCCTATACACAAATGATTGCATTGTCCTCAGTCAAAACAAAGAGGTTTGTAGAAGCAGTTTTTATACATGACTCCAGGCATGGATTCATTTTACTTTCCTTCAGTATAAATGAACTGCAGATATTTAAATAAAGTCCAAAGAACTAGAGAGTGCCACAGTAAATTCCTATTTATTTTTACAAGATATTCAGTCTTCCAAGTTGTGTGAGATGGAAGAAATTCTTGATGCCTGGATGGGTGATAACAAGCATATCTCCAAATGGAGGTTGTTTTTGTTTAATAGAACCATTTTTCTTCCAAAGTATTTCCATTAGCTGAACAATTAGTAGGTTTTGGTGATCTTTCCTATGAAAATTCTTTGGAAATACTAATTCCAAAACTCTATTTGTGAAGAATTTTCATGGGGAGAGTCTCCCCAATAGTCAGCATTAAATAGCACAGTGCTCCCCCTGTGCAAAGTTGTTCTTTATTCAGGGGATTAATATTTTACTAATTATAAAATGTTTAAGAAGTTTATAGAGATAAAAATCCTTAAGCCATGTTATTTGGCTTTTACAAGTAATCTCTATTCTCTTTACATGACACTGAGTTTTCATTCTAACTAATTCCTCAAGCCCAAAATGTCTCGTTCCTGTACTTTGTTGATACAGTACGAGCAGCTAACGTCAACAGGGTTAACTACACGAATAGTAAATTTGGGATTAAACATTCATAATGCCTAATACAAATGAGTTTCTTTACCTTTCTGTTGCTAATTTTAATTTCCCCTGATTGTCAAGCACAAGTTAAGTGCCTTCACATGGCTCTTCACTGAATAAATGCTAAAGGACAAGTTCAAAAAGGAAATAAAATTTCAGAGATGGGCCCAAAACATGAATATGTATTTGGACTGGAGGCCTGTGTGGGGGAGAAAAAACAAAAAAGAGGAAAAAAGCCCTCAGCCCAGTGTGAATGACTGGTGGTGTTCCCTACCCCATGGCAGAGAGCATGAACCCCTCGGCAGCACCAAGACAGGAGCCCTCCAAGTCCCCAAATGTCACATCTGCCATATCAACAGAGACTCAGAGTGGCAACAATGTCTCCTAACATATGCCTGTACTACCTTCTAAAGTGTTGCAATAACAGGGGAAAGAAACAATAGACATTTTGGCTGAAATGTATTTTGCTGTGTAGAAAGTATAAATCAGTTAATATTATTAACTACTAATAGCAGAATAGCATGTTGTAGGGATGCTTTACTGTGTAAAGCCATTACTTGATAATATTGATTGATTACATTAGTAATCACTTAATAAAAGGCCTAACACTTTGTTTCAGAGCACATATTTGACATATATTTTACATTTTATTTATACACGTTGGTATTTGCGTGGATGTATACGCATGCTTGCATTCACGATTCTTAATTCCAGGTAATGGTATTTGCAAGCAGTATTCTAGGATGATGTCATTATTCATTTATAAATTGTCATAGCTTATCTCATGAGGAGGCAAACACCATTTCCAGCATACCCAAAAGAAAGTAGTACAGTGCACTGAAGAAAAAGGGCCACAGCTAAAGACACACACTTTCCTTTTGCATTTATTGCCTTCTAGCTGTTTTCTTTAAAACTAAACACCAATGTCATGGGAGCATTTGTGATGACATTACTATGTTTTCCCCTTGGACAGGAGACACTTGTGTGTTGTTCAAAAAGCAGATGGAATCATTCTGAAAAATGCTTTTTTTAATTATATAGGGAATTTTCCTTTTTTTTAGTCCTGTCAAATAAATTTAAGTACTTGTGGGACATATATTTAATTCTGGAACTAGAGAAAATATTAAGTGACTCATTAGGCAATGCTGTTGATGTAAAACCATATGCGTTGACTTACCAATATGCTCTTCCAAAGGAAAATAAATAAGAGGTACATCCAAATTCTAATTCAAATCACTATTTGTTAAACAGATCTTATAAAACTGCTGATTCTGGAGGGACTCCTGTGTAAGGAAAGTTTTGGGGCTGATTCCCTTTGTGGTTCTGTCTAAAATGAAACTTTGCAGCAATTTTCTAATTGGTCATTACCAACAGGAGATAAAGAACACACACGTCTGAAATGGTAAAGAATAAACCTTGACAAGTACTGAAAAACCTTCCAAAAGATTTTGAATATGTATAGACATATATTTGAACATATATTTTCATCTTACAGGACTGGGTATCCTTTTACATTATCCCATGCAAAAATATTTTGATAGAGTCTTATCATATGAATAATAGCAAAAAGTAAACTATAAACATGCACATTTGGGTATTTGCAAAGCGACCAAGTCTACAAAGTATTAGAGAGCATAGTTTAATGAAAATTATGAGGACACTGATTGATAAAATGAGAACCTATAATGGCATATTTAGTCTTGGTCCATCAATTGATGACATTTTTTCCCAGGACACTGGCATAAAGACAATTACATAAGTCATAGAAAGATCTGTATATATCCATCTCAGAACAGAACTGTCTATGCAATTACCTTTTTTTCAGTATGAAGACAGTAAATTAATTAAATATGAACTCTATGCCTTACAAATAAGCCTTATTCTAATTTCTTTCTTTCCTAAAGGAATTGTGCCTCAGGGGGAGAAAAAAATACACACTATCTGAAAGAGAAAAACAAATAAAAAGTATTTTCTCAGCTGTGCTGGAAAATGTCTGCTCACAGAACTCCCCCTGAAGACCAACAGAATAACTGCAGGATGTGCTGCAAAACCAGGCCTACGATTATCTCCTGAGATTTTGTTTAATCATTAATAGCTTGGCAGCATTTCAGTACTGCCATGCTATTTTCAGTGATGCCTCGTGCATTTATCTTTGTATACAGATACTATTGTAATTCAACTGGGACTGGTCACATACTGTCCCTTGGCTTCTTTGAAAATTCCAGCCTCTTTGATAATAATATCTAGCAGCCCTTGAAAAAGATCACAGATACTTTTCTAATTCTATAAAAATAATAAGTATTAAGCGTCTTACAGCTTTCCAGTTGCAAAGTACACATCTGCTTATCCATTGGATATTTGGTCAGATCCATGCTGCATGCAACAGTTGTGGTGATCCTTGGGAAAAAAAAAAAAAAGAGTATTGCTGATTATTAATGGTATAAAATTGTTCATCAGTAAAAATAAAAATAAGTCATATATCCTTCTTGAACTAATATTTGCAGGCAAATATCTATTGTGAGGGGAAAAAAAAAAAATCTAGTATTTACTGGTATCTAATGGGGAAGAGTAATAGCATCCAAAACAGGAAACCACTCCAGAATAGCTGAGATTAGTGGCAGTCTAAAAAGGCCACCCCTTGCTTCCTTCTCACTTACAGTGTGCATTTTCCTTTGTTGATATTTTCCAATATATTTTACAATTTTGTTACATTTATCAAAATCTATTATAAAGGATAATCTGCAACAAATAATGCAAATCAGTCGTCACAGCTTGCTTTCCTCTGTGATGACTTCATTGCAAAACAACTGGAATGGCAAAATGCAATTCCTGTATTTGGTCTACATGAAAGTAACAGGGTCTATTTAGGGAAGAAAAGGAGACCTATTATTAAATTTAAGAATTTAATCATATTGGTCAATAATATTACATCTTCGTAAAACTACAAGAACATGCATATTCTACTTTTACAAATAGATCAGTTTCTTAAGCATAAAATTATGCTAACCTGCAAAGTTTAAAATGTAAGTTGAAGCCAAATATAAAGACTGGTATGCGGTATATACATACCGTAGAGCATACAAGACTGTTCCATTAGGGTATATTCTTATAAGACGATTCTCAACAGTGATATCATGAAGGAAAGACTTTTTTGAATCAACTATGAAGGTGTCAGGTACCCAAAGCATTTCCACAAGCCGACCATCTAAGCTTAAACTCTTATTACCATCGAAACAAAGTCTCTCATCAGTCCATCGCTGCCTTAGAAATATGGTAGCCGTGTAGTCCTGAAAGAGAAAAAAACAAAGTTACCGGACGGAGCAAGCCTGGATTGCATTCTGTTTTACAAAAGTACATGGAAACAGCTGTTGGGGACAAGTAGCCTGTGACTCTCCATGCCCCATTCTTAAATGCTGGCACTCCCATAGCAGTGGTACTGGCTCTTGTTCTGCCAGATTTTCCAGCACTTGATGTGAGGTTGACATTATTAAGAAATATTATCTTGAGTAGATTTTGTTCTTACCGTCATTGGAATGTTACAGTAAAAGCTGATGGCCTAAGTCTGGGGCTATATATCAGCTGAAGTTGCCAGAGTTTTGTAAGCAGATGATCTGGCTCTGTAAATCTTTAAATTTTAGAATGATTTATATAAGTGGTTGCAAACATCATTTTGTTCACATAAACTACTAAATAATGCATTTTTAAGAAAACTTTGGAAAAAGTTGTATAAATTCGGATAGACAAAAGGAGTTAGTGGAAGAGGAAGGGAATCATCATCTTTTAGCACAATTCATCCTTTCAACATCACAAGGGAAACAGTGGTGCCAAATTTATCAAGACCTTGAATATAGCTCTCGGCCCAGTTCACCTTCAATTCAGATATGCCTTGTAGTCTTACCTTAAAATGGCACTATTTCTTAGCACCTTTTTAATCACCTTTTGATTTTATGGTGTTTTTTTATCAGTGTAAGTTCATCTTAAGTTGTGACCTCACTTCCCCCTTTCTAAATGCTAACTAATACTTACTAAGTACAGAGGGATTCTAATATTCAACTTCTGTGAAAGCCCGAGTAATGAAATGGTGAGTTACTTTTATACAGATACACTTTTATTTTTTATATATACTTATTTATTTATATGTGTACACACTTTTTTATATATATACACACACACACACAAATATTTTCTAATATTGAATATCTGATTAATGAATTTTGCTTTTTATTTCTATGTACCAATGGAGGATCTTTAATTAGAAAAACATACTCCATTTCATAGTTTGTTCAAAAATAAATGATACAAATGTAATGAAACACAGCTGGAATAAATTAATGTGTGACAGTAACAGTGTAAGAGAAAAACAGTACCAGTTCAGCTGCGTCTAATCACAAGGAAAGGGAGTGGCTTCAAAGTCATGTGAATATATCTTTAGTTTTCCGAAATGCATAAAGATTTAGACATTTCATCTGGAAAATAAATACTGCTCTATATGCCTTTCATTAAGATTAATACTCAGTAGCAAATTTCTGTTTGTATCTGTGAGAGGTGTGATTTGCATCTGCATTTCTATACTTATTATAGCACTATAACCACTATCTGTAGTGAAAAATAAAATTCCATCTCTTAACACACATTGATTGCACAAGGGGAAAAGCCTCAAAGTCACATTGCCAGCAGCTGTAAACACAAGACATTAGCTTATCAACAAGCAAAACAAAGATGGCAAAAGCTACAATACCATATTTATTTCTGATATTGTATCAATGCTTGCAATATCCAGACTCATTCCAACTGACACAGGACCATCTGCAAAAAAGAGAAAGTCAGAATCTAGCACATAGTTCTTTAATACTTGAGAGTTCAGGAGAACTGGCTACAAATCTTCCACAATATGATCCATTTTTCCCTAAATGTTTAATAGCTTTTTTAAAAAGGAAATATTCCTCAAACTTAGATTATGAAAGAATGTTAACAATTTCATAACCAAAATATAATACTTCTAGACTAACAGTATCTTGGTTTTAATAAACATGCTTTATTTCCTAAATATTTCCTGGTTTATATGATTTATTATTTGTTTTTCCATAAAAAAGTACTGGGAAAATGTTGCACAACAAGGTGCGGAAGGTACAATCCCCATGGTACATCACACCCTCCTGCTCCGAGGTGCAGAGCGGTGGAAAGAATTCTTCCAGTTACAACATCTGGTCCACCAGATGTTAGCAAACTAAGGAGTTGCACCTGGCAATGTCATGTGGTTAATATCCAGATGGGATAGCTGAGTGACTTTATTTACTGCCTATTTAAGAATATATTGTCTATATTGTGTCACTGCATTTTAATGTCTTGCTTTTGACCATTAGCAGTTAACTTGTGATTTAAATACTTGCATTTATAAAGGAAAACTAGTCATTTTATTCTCCTTTTAATATTACTATCAGTGTGATTAAATACCTTACCTAAGTAGTTGTCATTGTAACGTTAGTATGCTCAGAGTCTCGTTTCCTTGTGAATGTGCATTTTACAGTGTCAGAAGGAAGATCACCAGCCATGCGTTTCAAAATGCAGAATTTGTGCAGAGCTTTCATGGAAACATGACATTATTCCTGGTTGAATATGTGCAGAATAATTAACAGAGTACATGTACAGGGAAATTCATATTAAGTAAGTGCATCTTTCCAAGTAATTGAGAAGCAGAGAATGCAGTACTGAGAAATGCAGAAATACTTTAGGTAAGATCTATGTAGCTGATGGTGCCAGTATATTGCAGGCACCCTGCTGAAACCCCCTCTTGCCTCCGTGCAATGCATCATGTACATAGCTCTTATATGCCCCCAAATGGCATCTAGAGGAAGATAGGGTCCAACTCTACCCCACTGAGTAACACTAAAGAAAAAATGTGTCATTCTAAGTGGTATAAGAGTATTAGTATTTTTTTTTTTCCCCAAAAAGAATTTCCATTTGTAATGCATGTGTTAAAGTTGTTAAACATCTGCACTCCTGAAAGAATCTATAAATGCTTTGTTCTGGACTCAGTTAAAAGTTCAAATATAAAGCTCCAGCTTAAAGCAGGACTGTAGGCTTGCAGCATCCCCTGATGGTAATCTATGTGTTTATTATATACTATAAATTGTATATAGGGATTAGAAGAAATTGTTCATCCATTGGAAGATGACTTTGGAGGTTAACTTTGGAACAAAATTATTTGACTGAAAAGTTCTCAGACCACTGACAGCTTGTTCTTCTGTTTCTTTCCATTCTTTTCAGGTTTTGATACTCCAAGAATACATTTATGTTTTGTCTCTCCAGGGTTAAAAACTTGACCCTCCAGGAAACTCAGCCAACTTTCTAGGGTCAGCAACAGAGTCAATTGATATTTATGCTTACCATTGTACTATATCACTATTATAGGTACAATATTGCCAGCCTCAAAAGATGTGTCAGATCCTCAAAATCATTAAATGAAAAAATAAGCGTGATTTATAATCCATTTTCTGATTTTTTTTAAAGTCTTCCTACAGATTCCCATGTATGACTGTAACAGAGCATATTATTGTCAACTGTCACACAAGAATTTGGGGGGAACATCACCATGCAAGGCATGTGCTTAACAATGGACCATCCTAAGGAGATGACAATGCAGTGTTCAGCTGGCTCTGTGGGAATTGTGGCTGGGAATAATCAGACTCTTTCCTATTACATCTTATTGGTAGGAACAGCAGTTGATCCTTGCCTAGTTAAGGTGATACGGATCAGGGGAAATGTTCATTAGCAGCACTTCAATATCCTCAGTGCTATTGTTACACGTCTGAGAGGAAAAGCTGACTTTCCCGAAAGATTACTGAAATTAAATTAGGTTTAATTTTTCTGGTATCACAGAAAGAGGACTTTGTACATCTCTTCCTTCTTTCTTTCCTGTTGAGATATTTTTTGAAATATTATTGAGTAACACAACAGAATTGTAGTGTTGGGTGACTCCCAACCACCAAAAGACATCTCGCTTAGGTTAAGAGGTACTTCAAGCTCAAACTGATTGTCCTACCACAGACCTGCCTTGCGGTTCAAGTGCTAAGGAGCGGTAGTGCCGTCGGGACAAAACCACCCTGCTCTGCCAGCCCTGACAGTCTTCACAACCCAAGTGCCCGTGCTGTGCAGCCAGCCTGTTGAGCCAAGCACTCATGAAAACTCAGCAGAAAATTACATCCCCTCAGATACAGCAACGTGCCAGGGAGGAGTTGTGCAGGAAAAAAACACAATTATGGAAGGGGTCTTTAGTAACACAACACAAGCTGCTGAGAATAGCTTTGCTTTAACAGTTAATTAAATCAGAACAATAGTAATAGTTAAAAGCTAATTTCTTTTTTGTGTGTGAGGCTAAATACAATTTATGGTGCCTTACCAAATAAGCAAAGCGTTAATAACAGAATGAGTCTTCCCATAATTATCCACCAGGGTTTCCCCTGAACTTCCTCTGAAAGGTCTCCTGCTGAGTGTCAAAAACAGGGCAGTAGACCAGATGAGGCAGTCAGTTCCTACATTTCCATATGTTTGGCAGGAATTGTACGTATAATGACAACTTCAGAAGAAATCTACTGATCTTCAGAAGAAAACTGAAGTCAGTCTGTCCTGCATTAGTGAAGGGAATCTTCAAAACATGGCAAAGAGACGCCATGGGTGGGCCTTCTTACAGCAATGGGTGCACAAGCTAACTAACATGCATTTTAACTTTTACTGAAATTTATGTACAAAGACTGTTACGTTATGCACTTTACAGATATTCACAGTAATCCCATATGGGAAAACAGCCAGAAGAGTGGCAGCCAGCGTACCTAAAAATTAAGTTTGGATCACTCCTATGATCACAGTCTGTTAAATTTTGTACCAACAAAGTAAACTACTACTGTCTCACGTCTGTATTTGTAACTCTGAAGACCTACCACTAAAATCAATCAGCACTGTCATGAACTGCCGGTACTGAGCTGTTAGTACTAGTTCTTTTTCATTTAGTTTAAGAAAACTTAAAACAATTCTGACATTCAGAAATACCTCAGAAGGGATGGCTTTTCGAAAGAAAAGCTCATCCTTGCAGCAATACTGGATAAAATACTATGCAACTCTAACAGAGCATTAGAAGGAAAAGTATCACTAGAATAATTTATTATAGTTTCATGAAAAACAGGTTTTGTCTGCCTGATTGCCAGCTTTGCTTTGTTTTAGAGTATTATGGGACTTTCAGATAAAGTGATAATTACGCTTGGATTTTTTCGGTGCGTTTAACTTCCCACCACAAGACATCTTTCTTGACAAATATATGTTACATAAAGAGACTGGACGGATTAAGATAGGCCTTCTGACAGATCTCAGCTGTAATTGTTGATACGAAGACATCAGAAGACAGACCCATTTCCAGCAGGGATCAGCTTCATGCCTATTTGTTTGCATTTATGATCTTTAGACAGTGATGTAGCTTCACTAGAGCAGTTTGTGGACAAGAGAAAAATTGGTCGGGATCATAATAATAACAGCTTGTTAAATCATTTGTCAAAAACACATATTTTAATACAGCCAAATGCAAGCAATTAATGTGGGGACAAATAATTCAGGCAGTATGTACAGGATAGGAAACTCTCTTGGCAAGCAGTGCCTTTGAGAAGGATTTAGAGGTTGTCACAGATAATCATTTCAACATGATCTTTCTGTATTATGCTTTGGCAGAAGTATTATTGCAATGGGGAGCAATACACAGAATTAAGTTATCTTGCGATCTAGACTGCATTGGCAAGGTTGTCATAAGATTACTGTGACAAGATTTGTTTTCCACATTTGGAAAAAAAAAAAATGTGCAGAGAGAGTTCAATTGAGAAAGAGAAATATTCCAGAAGACAAAAAACTCTGGAAGCTTAGTATCAAAGCTTGTAACATGAAAATTGAGGAACAGCATTTACTCAGCTCCCCAAAGAGAAGACGGAGAGGTGACTTGCCCGATGTCAGTAAGCGCACAGAAAAGGTATCTGCTAGTAAGTTGTACACATTCTCTGACAAAGCAAAGCAAGATCCCAGTTCATGGAAGCTAGAGACAACATGAAACTTCAAATAAATTGATTTTTTTTTTCTAACTGAACTCAATCACTGTTCATCATTTAGAGTCTCTAGAACTCAGCATTTAGAGGCGAGGGGAAAAAAAAAAAAAAACACAACCCTGAAACGTCCTGCATGCAGGAAGCTGGGTTTGGTGGCAGCGATAGTCTCATAGTGTCTCTTATTTCCATGGCAAAGGAAGGAAAAATCTACATTACCATCTGTATGCTGAAGTTTACAGTTTTGCACCAAGTCATTGATTTATTAAATCACAATTTTAAGGATTCAGTAGGGATTCAAAAGATGGTTTTTTCCAATATACAACTGGCCATACATATTCTGGGCTTTTTGCCTTTCTCTGAAGGATTAGGCATTGGTTAACTGGTACATAAAATAGTCTCTAGATTATGATTATTTGGTATTTCTTTCTCATGTATCCTGTGAGCTTGTCTCACTAAATCAAAGGGTCTTAGACATGGCTAACATTCTGGTATCTCCTGGTCTCTTTTGGGGGTAAACTGTAAACTTCTGAGGACTAAAATCCCTTCATCTAATTAAACTCATAGAACTTCATATTAAAAAAAAAAAAAGAGAGAAAAAAAATGAGAAAAAAATATGGTGACTAGCCTTACACAGAAGGTTGGACTCGAAGATTTAATTCGCTTTCTTGAATTTAAAACTTAAGACCATGAAATGTATTACTGATTACAAAGCTAA